TTATTTCAAGGGCACTAACCAAGTAATTCATCACAAGAGCTGGATTAGGAGACCATATTGTTAAGGACACTTGGAAAGACATAATCAGACACGCTTCAATCTTCAAATAATTATTGAAGCACTGCAATTTTCTGAACAGTATTACTGCACTGTATAATGTTTGACCTGAATACCTGGGTCATTTTATTTTAACTATTTAAGATAAGTTTTGTTTTTGTAAACATATGCATCAATCTTTTAGACAAAATTTTCAATACACGTAAACACCGTTGAATTGGAATATCCAGTTAAAGTATAATACAATACCAGTATTTTTCAAAGTTAATATCTCTGGCCGCTGTAGAGGCCAGCAAGGAAGATGAGACAGTCAGAAAACATTTTTTTAGCAATGCATCAATTTATATAGCAACAATGATGAATATTTTGCATGTGAAAAGAAAATTGATCGATCACCGATTTAAACCGGATTCAAAAAGATTTTTAAAAAGCAGTGATTTCTGACAAACAGCCATTCCAGACAATTTCTGGAAAAAGTCAGTTAGTCACATGAATAATAAAAATGATCGTGGATTGTGTATTCCGAATACACGGGCAATAAAGACATTAGCAAAGTTGAAATTTCACACATAATCAGAATAAATAATAAACACTTCATTTGATACACCACCTTATCACCTCTTTGAGTCGTTTCAATGCACTTCAGAATTCAGTTAAGTATAAAAATATCCAGATGTTTTTAAGCACTCTGGGATGTTACATGCGTGAGGGGCGTTATATAAATGCAAGATGTTGTAAATAATAATAATCCTTGCATTTGACATAGCGCTTTTCACGGCTTCTAGATGTCCAGAAGCGCTTCACAGAATATACTGTAAAGTGAAATAACTATATTTGTGGGCGAACGCGGCAGCCAATTGCGTACAGCAGTGTCCCACAAACAGTCATGGATTGAAAATGACCAATTTATTATTGTTTTGTTTTGGAGGGATTATTATTAGGCGTGTGGAGTAAGGAAACTTGCCCAAGGTTTCGCCCTGCCTGGAATTGAACTCAGGTCTCTCGCTTGCAAAGCGAGTGCTCTAACCACTGAGCTACAGGACTCCAAGTTGTTGCAAGTTGTTGTTGTCTGCTATCAAGTTGTATTGCCTATAGTTCTCATTTGTTCGGAATATACAATCCACAATAAAATATTATGCTTTGCTATCTTTACCTGACAAAGTAACTTTGCAGCTGTCCCCGATAGTTGATAACAAGGAGCTCTGCTGACCACTGAGTACTAGCGGTGTACTCCAAAAACATCAGCCCCGCCACAGCATAACTCAGGTCCCCCACAGAGCTGACACCCTTCAGGGAAATCAAAAGTAAATCATACCACTTTTTTCATTCTTTTTTCAAATATTTTACTCCGGTACCGACAGCTCAACTACATACTCACAAAATATCAAGATGTTAAAACAACACTTTTTATAGTATGTCTATGTGATGTTCAGCATCAAAATATCTTAAGTTGCTCCACCTGGAAACTCACTTTTGGTTTCCACAGGGAAGAGGAAAAACCAGTCCTATCACTAACTCCCCACTTTCAATTCCGCCTAAAGACCTTCCTTTTTGAGCTTACGATCACCTCCCCCTCCCTCCGGGTCGGGGTCAGACTCCATCACTGTCAAGCGCACCGGGATGCTACCCCACATGAAGGGAGCTATATAAATGCAAGTTGTTGCTGTCATTTTTATGTAAGGTATGTACCATACATAACTGCTTGCATTGTTTCCTTTGATTTTCATAACATTCGATTCAAAAAAATAAATTGTGGCTGTAAATACAAATCAGATAAGGAAACCAATTGTGACTTAAAACAAACCCATCCTAAAATTAAAGACTTATACTTAGTTAATTCTATATTATAAGACTCTGCAAAAGTGTTACAGGAAGAAACTTTTTTAAGCAGTACATTACAGAATTGTTTTTAAAATAATAGTGGTCAGGCAGTATTGAATGCATTAATTTCGTAAAAATATTTATATCAAGAACAGTCCATAAGATACTGCAGAGACTTATTCTAAAACTTTCTTTGCAATCAGTTACTAATGTGATTCCAATTGTACCTACGTTTCAATATATAGAGAACCCTCGGAGTAAAACTCAATATGGGATAAATTCAAAGTCTGCACTTCAAACAAAACGCTGAATATAAAATATTTCACTTTCATACCCTGATAATCTGTGTACTTATATTTTAAAGCTAAATTTTAAAACAGTGATTTACCGGTGGAATGCTGAATAGTTCACTGCCCATCAAGTCAAATACTTTCACAGTGCCTGTGCTTTCAGCATAAGCCAACAGAGTGCTGTCAGAACTCCAAGCCACATGGCGCCACTGTGGGTGTGGATCCTTCGGCACTAGCAACAGAGAAATCAAGGCAAATATATCAAAAAATTGTATGCATCAAATCTGATTGAAGATGAACTAAATGTTCTAAGAATTTTCAAGATGGAGGTGGATAGATTTTTGTTAGATAAGGGTATAAAAGGATATGGGGCAAAGGTGGGTAATTGGAGTTGAGGGATAGATCAGCCATGATCTAATACAATGGTGGAATAGGCTCAGGAACATTCTCCCTCAATCCCTCCGACTTGCCCCTTCTCTCCTCTTTTTCAAGTCCTGCCTGAAAATCTTCCTCATTGACCGTGTTTACGGCCACTTCCCCATCCCGGCTCGGAGTCAGGCTCTGCCACGGTTAAGCACTCTGAGACTGCGTGGGGGGCACTATATTAATGCAAGTTGTTGTTGCTGAGGTGCTGAATGGCCTATTCCTGTTCCTAGAATTGGCAAAATAAGTTTTTAAAAACTCTGCATGGAAGGTTTTGTTTATTATTGAACTATAACTGTAAATGTATTATTCTCCATAGTCCTTGCACATTACGGTTTCTTAATGCCACTTTGTTAATTGTTATAATATTAGGTTTCTCTGGTTATACTTCTGTTGTTATACTGCTGCAGTGGTAAATGAGGGAACAGTGTACAAAATACATTCACTTTAAAGTTTAATTAACTCCACAACTCTGCTTGTCCATTGCAATATTAATTGGATTTTTTAAATTAATTACATTTACATTCAATCCCTTGAAATTTGTCCGCCCCATCAACAAATACCTGATCTATCAACAGATTTCAATAATAAACTCAGTATTAAAAGTGTACAAAATATTCAGCAGTTCAGACGGAAATCATCCAGCAGAATTTTCAAGCTCTATTAAGATTCTGCTTCATGTCTTAAAATGTTTGCTGATACTTTATATTATCGTCAACTATACTATTATTCACTTCCCCCCATAAAAACTCTCCCACTGTATTGTCCAAAAACAGAAGTTAAATTATAGACCCTGTAATAACTGTTGCAAAACCTCCATTTCTTTTGGGGATGCTCCAGTAACAGTTTACAGATTATTTTCCAAATCTGTATTACCCATTAAATCTCATCTGTGACTATAAGATATTCCAGTAAATTATCAGGCAACATTCCACAAACTTCTAAGTTAATTTACTCAAATGTGGCTCAAGGTTTCAGGTCAAATGCAAGTCAAGCGATTTCACAATCTTTAGATTTGTTTTGCTGAACTCATGGAGACACAGGACACAGTGAAAGATTGCAAGATAAAATAAGTGAGAACATTGTCACTATTTTCCTAACCACAGCCCGGACACACAACTCTTATCATGTTAGAGAGAATGTACTAGATGCGTGAGCTTTGGTAGGTCAAGTAAACTTTTCTCACTTACTTATGACAGATTTCTTATGAGCAAAATACATTTATCAAAAACAGAAAAAAACCTTTGTTACAACCCATCTTACAATACAATTCATTTAACTCATATAGGCTCTTAAGATCAATGTCAAAATTCAAAAATGAGAAATATTAAATGTGTAAACTGTACCTATACATTTTCCAATGATGGAACCAAATTCATCGCGTGTAGACCTGTAAAATAATTCATCAAAACTGAGCAATAAACCATTGTAACTACATCTATGCATTTTAGGAGATAATTTTATAGAATAAGTGCATTATCAGCAATGAAAAGCAACTGTTCGCCCTCCTCTTTCAGGTTCCCAAAGCAGAATCAAGAGCTGTTGATGCTCTCCAATAAAGTTAGATGTCTGGCAAGGAAACAATTCAAACAAATAACTGTGAAAGGTCCACTGCTTCACGGATAGTTACCTTCTAAAGATAACTGGGAAAAGGGAAATAGAACTAAATATCCCATACAATACCTGATTTCAATACACTGGTCCTGAACCACAGCTAGAAGTTTCCCATTACTGTTAGAAAAAAAGAGAAATTCAATGTAAAGAGTTTCATTATTAAAAACATTGAATAGCACACACAGCCCTCAGATCTAAATCGTCGCTAAAATCATTCATCAGTCCACTTAAAATGTTTGCTGATACCATATTTTAATCAGCAAATATACTATTATTCACTCCCCCACAAAGAAAACACTGTATTGTCCAAAGACAAAGGTAAAATTATAGTCCCCTTAGTAAAAACTACAAGTAATATCTTCCGGGGAGTAAATAATTATGCTTTAAACAGTTAGTTGATTTGGTGAGTGGACGAGGTAAACCCAAGCTGGGGTTGATTGGTTGAGGTAAACCCAGGAACACAAATTAATTAAAAGTTAAATAAAAAAAACAGAATGTTTAATATCCTTTAGAGGATCTGAAAGTACTCATACATACACCATATACATAAAGAATTATTATTATTATTATCAACAAATCAATACGCAAAAGGAAATTACCGTACCTGTGCAAACCATCACTAACCAATTTCATCTATTTCTAAGGACAGTATTTAAATTTACTTTTTGAATTTCTTGCTTAACCTGTGGAAAATGAAATTACACACTTCTCCAGTTACAATCCGTTGCAATCACTTTTCCAAATCAAAATTCAGCATATTCCTAAAGTGTTTACACATGCAATATTCAAAGTGCTCCTTTATTTTAGATAATTGCAATTAAAGAACAGTACGAGATTAGAAGATACAATAGAGAAAGGGATAGATTTATACGTTAACTGAAATAATAGATTACCTGGCGACAACTAGCTGCCAGTTCATCTGTTTACTAACCAACTGGACAAGACTAGGAGGCAGTAATGAGCTAGACGAACTGGAAGAGTAAAAGATAATATTAGAACAGTAGAAGGTTGTAAACATTCTTAGATCCACAAATAAGGATTACAGCACTGATTAAACGTTTTATTAGTACAGGTAAACCCAACAACACAAATTAATTAAATGTTATCAAAATAACAGAGTTTTTAATATCCTTTATAGAATCTGAAAGTACACATAAATAAATTTGTACTCTCAGATCCTCTTAGTATTAATTCTCTATTTCAGAGTGCCAACAATAGAAAAATCTAATTTAAGGACTTAAATCATTTTTTTTTAAATTCCCTCCCAAAACAATACGCTTTGCTGCAGATTTTAGCTTCACCACATTTTGGCACTTACCTACATCCAACATACTGAACCACAAATTTAAAAGGACCTGAATAGAAAAAAAAAGTTGTTTTCAGATATGTAGCAATAAATTCAACTTCAAAACTGCTGTACACAAGAGGGAACTGCAGATTGTTCATACAAGTATTAGTATTGTCAAATAAGAGAATATCATGGTTTAAAAAAACAAAAAACATTGTTACAGATAGTCATTTCTCCCACAAATAATTCACTTTACAGTCTATTCTGTGAAGCATTTTTAGACGTCTAGAAGTGAAAAAGCGCTATATCAAATGCAAGGATTATTATTCTTATTACAGCTACAGCTGTTTACAGTTGTAAATCTAATGCTTTAGCTAGTTGGATTATAAAAAGCCTTTATGAAGATGTTTATGAAACTGCTCAATATTGTAAATAGTTCTTAATCACTTGCCTGAAATACTCCCACTAGTAATGCCAATTAGACTTAACCTATTGAGCATTGCTGATGTATTTGTTCAAGGAAAAAAAACACAGTGGGAGAGGGGAGATTTGGTAGAAAAGCACAAAAGACAACATTAAAAAAGACAGAAGAAAAGGGATAACTGAAATAAGTACAAGTATAATGTTTATTTTATTTAGTTGTTTTAATTTTGATCAGTAATATTGTATTAATAAATGCATTCACACAAAATTTGTATTCTTAGCATTACAGTGTCTGTGTTTCAGGTCACCATCATAGCTTGTCACTCCAACACCGTTGCCAAGATCTGGTGTTGTCATTTATCTTGACTAGTTCCTCGGGAGGACAAGATGTTGTCAGGGAGCACAGAGAGAGAGAGGCCAGGACCCAGAGAGAGAGAGAGAGAGGCCAGGACCCAGAGAGAGAGAGAGAGGCCAGGACCCAGAGAGAGAGAGAGAGGCCAGGACCCAGAGAGAGAGAGAGAGAGAGGCCAGGACCCAGCCAGAGAGAGAGAGAGGCCAGGATCCAGAGAGCGAGAGAGAGAGAGGCCAGGACCCAGAGAGAGAGAGAGAGGCCAGGACCCGGCCAGAGAGAGAGAGAGAGGCCAGGACCCGGCCAGAGAGAGAGAGGCCAGGACCCGGCCAGAGAGAGAGAGAGAGGCCAGGACCCGGCCAGAGAGAGAGAGAGAGGCCAGGACCCGGCCAGAGAGAGAGAGAGAGGCCAGGACCCGGCCAGAGAGAGAGAGAGAGGCCAGACCGGCCAGAGAGAGAGAGGCCAGGACCAGAGAGAGAGAGAGAGAGGCCAGGACCCAGAGAGAGAGAGAGAGAGGCCAGGACCCAGAGAGAGAGAGAGAGAGGCCAGGACCCAGAGAGAGAGAGAGAGGCCAGGACCCAGAGAGAGAGAGAGAGAGAGAGGCCAGGACCCAGCCAGAGAGAGAGAGAGGCCAGGATCCAGAGAGAGAGAGAGAGAGAGAGAGGCCAGGACCCAGAGAGAGAGAGGCCAGGACCCGGCCAGAGAGAGAGAGAGAGACCAGGACCCAGAGAGAGAGAGAGAGAGTCCAGGACACAGAGAGAGAGAGAGAGAGAGGCCAGGACACAGAGAGAGAGAGAGAGAGAGAGGCCAGGACCCAGAGAGAGAGAGAGAGAGAGGCCAGGACCCAGAGAGAGAGAGAGAGAGAGAGGCCAGGACACAGAGAGAGAGAGAGAGAGAGAGGCCAGGACCCAGAGAGAGAGAGAGAGAGAGAGGCCAGGACCCAGAGAGAGAGAGAGAGAGAGGCCAGGACCCAGCCAGAGAGAGAGAGAGAGGCCAGGACCCAGCCAGAGAGAGAGAGAGAGGCCAGGACCCAGAGAGAGAGAGAGAGAGGCCAGGACCCAGAGAGAGAGAGAGAGAGAGGCCAGGACCCGGCCAGAAAGAGAGAGGCCAGGGCATGGTCTGAGATTGGTAGAGGTGTTTAGGGCCTGGTTAGGATCACTGTGGTGGGCCTGGTCTGGCTCAGGCTTGGGCATACTTGACAGCAAGGCAGGCAGAGGGCAGCGTCTTTTTGCTGTTGTATTGTTCTCTTGTATCAATTGACCAACGTGTTACTAACCTCTTTATGCAACAACAATAACCTGTATTGAAATTGTGCCCTTTATGCACAGTCGTGTCTTGTAGTGCTTCAAACAGAGTCTCCTTGGAGTTGAACTGGCTCTAAGCTGACATGCTTGGCAACAGAATGTCGGAATCGAGCCAACTCACTGGCGCTCTCCATAGTGCAGTTGCTGAGATCAACAGATCAGCGGAGGACGTCCCAAAGCTCTTCACAGGATTCACTATGAAATGGAGTGACTGTGTATTTTTTGGCAAACACTGCAGACCAATTGTACACAGCAATATCCCACAAACAGCTATGAAACAAATGACCAGTTTTATTTGGAGGATTGTTGGCTAGGGCAGTGGGAGAATCTTCCTTCTCTTGAATAGTTCCATGAGATCTTCAAAATGTGAAACATCAGTCTGATATGACACAGACGGGACCTCACTTTAATGTCTCGTCCAAAGGATGGCACCTCTGACAATGCAACACCCCCCCCCCCCACCACCACCACCAGCACTTCAATGTCAACTGAGTCTATGAACTCAATCCTTGGACCCACAACCTTTTGACTCAGGTGCAAGAGTTTTCCCACTGAACCACAGGCTGATGCACAAAGCTATGCAATTTTCACTGGTTAGATTCTAGCAGAACCCTAAGAATAGACACTCTGGGTTCCCTAGGCTTTAACTCTTACCAGCATGTGCCTGAGAGTCTCCAGAATACCTAAACAAGGTGCATACCTCCAGAGAGCAAATGTGCATTCTAATCCAGATGAGGAAACTTCATGTATAGGTGGGATTCATATGTGGAACTCAATGTGATTTGGCCACTCTTAAGCATGTTGCTGTTTTTTTGCATGTATCAGACAGTTGGCTGATCCAAAAAAAAAAATGTGATGGCGCAGTACTTGGAGGAGGGATGAGAGTCACAGGACAGTGGATGTCAACATCCATAGTCTCCCTGAATCACGTAACATTCACTTGGTGCTGGTGGTGGGGGGAGTTTGCATTGTCAGAAGTGCCATCCTTCAGAAGAGGTGTGAAACCAAGGACCCATCTGCCTCTTCAGGTGGACGTTAAAGATCCCAAGGCTCTAGATGAAAAGAGAAGGGAGTTTCTTCCCGTGTCCTCACCAACAATCCCATGAATAAAATTGGCCATCTGCTTCATGGCCGTTTCTGGGACATTGGTGTGTGCAATTGGGCTTTTGCGTTCGCACCTACAAACACGGTCAGTTCACCAGTAAATCCTGTGAAACAATTTGAGACATCCTTCTGACCTAAAGGAACTATATCAAGTGCAAGGTTTATTATTATTATTACTTGATGGTTTGATAATAAAAAAAACCTGCTGGTTGTGCAACCCTTGAGTCCTCTTAATCTGTTTATTTTCAAGTTATTTTCATACAGATAGATTTGAGTTTCTAATGATTGGTTCCATTAAGTTTCCAATTTCTGGCAGTTTTAAATATTGGAGCTCTTATTTGTGGGAATCTTCTCAGTGTTGATTGAATCTCACAAAATGTCTTTGGTATTTAATAAACCTTGTGCCCCGCACTCTCTTATGTACCCGGGATACAGTTGATTGGCCCAGGCAATTTATTCTCTTTTTAAAGCATCTTGAACATACCTGGACACCCGTCCGTTGCTAATGTGAAATTCTCGGAGCTCACAACATGTGCTGATTGATATTGCGTGACTTCTAGTGTCTTTCCCTTGGTTTAAAAAGCTTTTCATGAAACAGTTTATATGGTTATGACATAATTTCCAAATCCCTTAGAGTTCTGAAGTTCCCCCGGTTTATTATGGCGCTGGAAGACTTTTCTTTGGTGATGTGTTACCCATATGCCCTAATGTTCTTTCTACTCTTCCTTCTTGAATATTCTAACCTTTTATAAGCTGCACGTTTCCTCAATGCTTTGTTTTTTAAGAATGTCCATTTATACCTGATTAGTGCTTCTATATCAATAAGTTCAGGCCTCATATACCTAAATTCATCCATTTGAAGTTTGGTTTGGTTATATGGCTGCATTGATTTCCAAGCTAGGGCTGGGCTAGCCATTACCTAGAAGTTCACAGCTGAGAATTGCATCTAGGCTATGGAGCTTTATTTATTCTCCTTCACAGCTTTGTGTAAATGAGGTTTTCTTGCCTTTTTAGAGATGGGTGTTATGCCAGAGATTGCTCAGGCTGTAGAGGAGATGGACTGGCTGTAAGTATTTTTAAATGTTCCCTTTGACTTTCATTAGAATATCAATCTGTTAAATGCTACGAAGCTGAAGAAGAAAATGTTTGTAGAAGTGTTGATTAATTAAAAATACAATACAACCAAAGTGGTATTGATCTTGCCCGACCTGATGTGAAGTAGGTTTGCAAAGTTCAAAAAGAGATACAAGAAGTTGTGCTTTAAAATTTGCCACAGTATCTTGTATAATACTTACTATGACTTTCTCCCTGAATTCAATTCTGAAGCAGAAATTAGACACAGTATTCCAGAACATACATCATTCTTCACGTTTTCATTTTCTTCATTAAGAAAAAAAGGCACTTTGAGACTTTATGAAATTGAACTTGATTATGAATCAAATCATTCCAAATGTGATAAGATTGTTGATGATCATAAAACAAACTTTGGATCAACTATCGTCAAATTACATTGTTAAAACCTTTTTTTAAAAAAAACATTTTTTTTAAAATTGTGATGTATACATTTCCACAATGTTTCCCCTTTAAAAAAACAATATTTTTCAGTCTCCCTACAGATATCCAGTCTGAGTCCATCCCTTTGATCCTGGGTGGTGGTGATGTTTTGATGGTGAGTTGATTCACACTATGAATATAGTATGCACTGTGCAGGTTGATCAGTTTACAATAATAGTTTCAATGTTTTATTCAACTGGATATGTGGTAGCACCAGCATTTGTTTTATTAACCTTATGAGGTTTTATAGAACTTTGAATAAGGAACACCACTCTTGATTTTACAGCAAGTCTGTTTAATCTCTACAGGCAGCAGAGACCGGTAGTGGAAAGACTGGAGTAAGTATAATACAACTTGTGGTCCTTTCAATTGTTACCCAGCTGGGTATGAATTAAAACATTGGCTGAAAGATATGACCTCTACCGTGATGACCATCACTGGTGATATCATTAGAGATCAATATTCACATTAACACAAGCTACCTGATCAATAAATGTTTAATTTAATGTCTGTCTGGGTGGGGGAGGGGTGAAGCCCCACTTTTCTTTTTCTCACCCAACTTCATCACAACTTCAAACAATGGTTGAGCTCAATGCCCTGCCTTTGGCCACTCTTAAACTTGCTGCATGTTGGATCACAGCATTTCAGATCCGGTTCCCAGGAAAACAGTTTAACTTGGTGTCAATCAGCCTGACTCAGTTGGTAGCAGTCTCACCACTAGGTCAGAAGGTTGTGGGTTTGCGTGCTCATTTTTTGATTTTGTGCTGAGTATAACATCACGATAAACTCTTAATTGCTGTATATGAAAAATTTGGTAACCATCCTGAAAGTAATGATTTGCTGTATAATGAGTATTAAGATTGTAGCCTCATCGCACATTTTTTTTAAAACTGTTGCTTTTTAGGCCTTTAGCATACCTGTTATACAGATAGTGTATGAAACACTCAAGGACCAACAAGAAGGCAAGAAGGGGGGCAAAGCAAGTGTCAAGACTGGAGGTGCAGGTAATGGTTCTAAAACTGGTTGTACTTGTTCTGTATTATGAAAAATACAGGGAGAAATTCTACCAACGGGTACATTTACTCTAATGTAGCATTTTAGAATATCTATAATTTGGCAGCTTGTAGAGTTTAGTCTTAAAATCAAAATTTTTCTGTATTTCTCAAAAGAACTTACAGAAAACTAGTTTAAAAAGTTGCCACGTTCTGGATGTTCTGAAATGCTACGTAAACGGAGTGAATCTAAACCCTGGTGGAATTTCTCATCAATAGTCTTTTGGTGGCTGCAGTTGACTCTGGATACATCCATTCCTTATGGAAGAATTCTGATATGTGCAATATTCCAATATATTCCAATTCATTTATGCATCCTATCCTTTGCCATTTATATTTCTACTTTTACATCTTTAAGTAAACATATAAAATCCAAGGATTGGCAAGAGTTCTCTCTGTCTTTCAAAACAAGAGCGTTTAGAATACTTGAATTCTAAATGCCCTGTCCTATATCGAAAATGTAAGCCTTTAATTGCTAATGAAAACTATCCCTGTTGATGTTTTTATTTACTAGGGAGAGAGAAAGAAAGCAAATACACTTGTCAATAAATTAATGAAAGTCCTGATCTGTTTACAATCCTGTGGTTATTGAATATTAAACTGCAGGAAATTATTTTGCAAAATTTGTGACATCCAATGCTTCCTGATTTGGTTATCTAAATCCTAAACCATGTTTGTAAAAGCTTTCTAAGATTGTTGATACTTCCTCGTCCCTCTCAGATAGTATGGGTCTTTTGCTTATCCCTCTGCTCCACCATTGGCGGCCATGCTTTCAGCCACTATGTCTCAAATCTCTAGAACTCCTTGCCTCAGTCTTGCCTTTCTGATTGAAGACTTTCCTCTTTAACCATGCCTTCGTTCACCTCCTCCACGCCCCCACCCTCCGCTGATTTCTAGCTCTGCATTAAGTGCTCCAAGATGCTACCTATGTAAAGGATGCTATATAACTGCAAGTTGTTGTTGGTTAATGTTTTGAAAGATTCATGCAGACGCTCTTTTTTCCCCCTTCTAGTCTTTAACAAATGGCAGATGAATCCTTATGACCGGGGCTCAGCATTTGGTAAGTTTTCATCCAGTTCATTTTTAACAAATTATGGAAAGCACTTTTATTGGTGAAGTCACAATAAGTAATGAAAACATGAGAAAATAATATTGAAATTCTACAAAGAGCAGATTAGAGGAATCTATATTACTGAATAAGTTTTTTTTTTAAAAAAGCAAACTTAGTTTAGTAAGTAGCATGCTTGAAGGTTATAGACATGAACATGTTGGGCTTGAACTCACGTTTAGTTAATACAGCTTGGTCCTGTATGGTACGTACTGGGCATTATTATCCTCAAAACGTATAATGTAACAAAACATTTGAGTTTGCCTCTCACCTGAAGAAGGTGGCATCTTGTGCTAGAACAGACATTCGTGGCTTTTTTACCCACTCTTTATTAAGAATGTCTTAATAAACAATAATAACAGTGGAGTATCCTACACAAAAAAACAAGGCTAATTTACATGCTTCTAATTTCGGTTTAAGTTTTTTTTAAACAAAATTAATGTTTCTTTAGTAGAAATGCAGCTAATTATTTGTCTCCCCCCTTCCCACTCCCAGCTATTGGAGGTGATGGTTTGTGCTGTCAGAGCAGGGAATTCAAGGAATGGCATGGATGCCGATCTACAAAAGGAGTGACCAAGGGTAAGGATGGTGCATTGTATCATATTGAATTAAATGCAAGGATTATTTTGATTTCACGGTAATAAAGTGTGCCTTTTGGAATTTCATCTTTACTTTGAGTTTGGCAATTATTTATTCAACCAGGAGAGAGGTTTATGCTGAGCTGGTTATCGCTGGTTTGGTAATGAAACTTCCTTTCTGAAGTGCAACTAAATGTTTCTTTAAATGTACTGTTTTTCTGCCTTGCCAAATTTTAATGGAAGAATATTTAATCATCTGTTAATAGTTTTAATTATCACACTATTCCACACAAATTAAATTATCAGGTTAATTTCCCTTAATGCACTTAATTTCTGAAAATATAGTTGGTCGTTTATATGATTTGATAGAAAATGTATTATACAAATATGCTTTGAAGACATTTGTCTTTGAATGTCTGAAAAGCTTCTTCAAATGGACAAGCATGCAAAATGCATATCAATTGAACATTTTTGTGTCATTTATGGATGCATATTTTACAGGCAAGATCCTGAAAGAAATGTTAATTCATTCAAAATCGGGTTTAATCTGTCTTGGCGCATAGTGCAAATTGCAGCACAAGTATAGAAGGCCATCTTGTTACATATGTAATCATTCTAAAAATATGAAACAACATCTCTGGGCAAGAAATCCGTAAACATTTTCAAGGACAATAAAATCTTGAAGTGTTGAAATTGGTTTGCTTTTTTTTGATTTATAGGAAAATATTACTATGAATTGTCTTGCCATGACCAGGGCTTGTGCAGAGTTGGTTGGTCTACCATGCAGGCTTCTCTTGATTTGGGTAAGTTTAACCCAACTGACTCATAGTATTAATGTTACATAGCTTATAAAACACACTTATGCTCAATGACTAAGGGTTGCTAAACTGCCCAATGACTATGTTTGCTTTCAAAGTAGTTTTATAAGTAGAATCCAATGAATACAATTATTGGATACCATTCTCTAAACATGTGGAATCCTGTAGCTCAGTGGTTAGAGCACTCGCTTTGCAAGCGAGAGACCTGAGTTCAATTCCAGGCAGGGCGAAACCTTGGGCAAGTTTCCTTACTCCACACGCCTAATAATAATCCCTCCAAAAACAATAATAAATTGGTCATTTTCAATCTACGACTGTTTGTGGGACATTGCTGTGCGCAATTGGCTGCCGCGTTCGCCCACAAATATACAGTCAATTCACTTTACAGTGTGTTCTGTGAAGCGCTTTGGGACGTCCTCCCGACGTGAAGAGCGCTATATCAAATGCAAGGATTATTATTATTATTATCAGCAATACTACACTCTGAACCACTTTAGGGAATTGAAGTCATTATAGTTAAGTGATTTCTGCATGTCACTCCTAAAATGAACTTTTTTTTCTTAATCTTGTGCATTTCAATAGTGTCTGAAGAAAATCAAGTTGGTCCTGATGAATCACTTTATTTGGAATCATATGTACAGATTTGTTTTTAACCAATGAATCTCGTGTTCATTTAATAGTCTCATATCCACCCATTTTGTATGACAAAATCCAGATTAGTTTTAATTTGGACCCTGGTATGAAATGCCAATTGGGAAAGTTGGTAAGAAGAAAACAGTTTGAAAATACTATGAAGCGTAGAATGTCTCTGTTATAACAACCTCGAGCTTTGGGTCCATAAAGTTAGACCCTGGATTATAGCATCTGAAAACAAATGGCCACCGGTCTCGCCTCTGAGTTGCATGTTACCACTGACTTAACTTCTTGCATTGTTTACTGCACAGAAAGCCAACTGTCAGCCATGACCACTATCACGAGTGTTTATAATGCTAGAAAAGCTCATGAAATTAGTGGTGTTTAGGCAGGAGGTTGTGGCTGACCAGCCAGCCTGCATAGGAAGCCGGTCAGTCCACACCAGAAGGACTCTAGAAGTGTACTGCAGAACACCTGGTTGTAAACGGGCCTGAACTCTAGTGAGATGTGGAGTCCTGTAATATTGTGGTTAGAGCATTTGCCTCACAAGCAAGAGGACCTGGGTTCGATTCCCGGGTAGGGCAAAACTTTAGGCAATTTTCCTTATTCCACACAGCTCTGTTTACTCTGTTAAGTAGGAACCTGGATGTTAGTCGATTGGTGGATCACTTTTCCGGGGTAATAATCCCTTCCAAAAAATATAATAATAATTTGGTCACTCAATCTACAACTGTTTGTGGGACACTGCTGTGCACAATTGGTTACTAAGTTTGGCCCACAAAATATAGTCAATTCACTTTACAGTATATTCTGTGAAGCACTTTGAGACATCTTGAAGACGTGATAAGGCACTATATCAAATGCAAGGATTATTATTAAATAGATGGCCTATACAGATAAAATAAAATGGAGCTATTCAAAAGGCAAACGGTTTGTGTGATTGTAGTTCACGAGGAATCTTTGGTAGCTGAGTAGTCTGTAAGCTTACCTATGTTTTTTTCTCTTCTGTGGATGGAATTCTGAAACAGGTACTGACAAATATAGTTTTGGATTTGGTGGAACTGGAAAGAAATCTTTCAACAAACAATTTGATAGCTATGGGGAGGTATGTAACGTTTGAGATATAATGGATTACAATTATGCACTGATTTTTTATTAAGTATTTGTATCTTCACTGTTCTGCATTATTTGTGTTTATTTAGGAATTTACCATGCACGATACTATTGGATGCTACCTCGATTTTGAAAAAGAGATTTTATTATTTTCAAAAAATGGTAAGCTTACCCCCCCAAAATTGTCTTTGAACTTCCATATTTGGGTATGGATTCTGTACCTTATTGTACCAATCATCGCCACCTAGTGCAAGCTTAGATATTGCTCAATTAGACAAGACTAAACAGCCAGAGCTGTGATTGACAGCATCTGATAACACAACCACATTTCTACAAGAGCACATTCCTGCTTGATTAAATACCATCTGGTAGTGATTGTGGAAAGAAATAATGCCAATTATTTGTAGAATCTTCAAATATATCTTCATGTCAAATGCAAGGTAAATCCGCACTTGTGATTTTTCCATTTTAAACAAGTTTGGCAGTGCAGTGGTCCATCCACCTGATCTCTGAATTCCCAAAGTATTCTGTCAACGTGTTTATTTCATCTTATAACCTTAAATAGTTTAAATTTTCAGCAATGCTGTCTAGTTCCTATGAAACTTTTTTTTAGTTCCTTATTCCATCGATTGTGCTCTTCCTGGTCTACTTTTTCTAGTAACAAAAATCTGATCATTTCTTTGGCATGTACTCGTTTCACTAATGTTATGCGCAAAATAACTGCTGTGGAGGCTATTCACAAAACATCTTTTTTTAGGGAAAGATCTTGGCCACGCTTTCGATATTCCTGCACATCTAAAGGGCCAAGCCTTCTTTGCTGCTTGTGTTTTAAAGGTAACTTTTCACTTTCACTTTTATAAGTAGAAAACGATATAGTTAGAATTTTAACTAAAATATCCACTTTACATCCTAGAATGCTGAGCTCAGATTTAACTTTGGTGAAGAAGAGTTCAAATTCCCTCCAAAGGATGGCTTCATAGCACTGAACAAGGCTTCTGATGGTCATACTGTGAAGTCACAGCACACCGGTACGTCAACAACAACTTGCACTTATATAGCACGTCCATGCAGGGTTGCGTCTCAGAGCGCTAAACAGTGGCAGAGCCTGACTCCAGGTGGGGGGGAGAGGTGACCATAAGCTCAGTCAAAAAGGGGAGAGGGGGGCAATGTGAAGGGATTGAGGGAGAGTGTTCCACAGTTTCGGGGCGTAGTCTCTGAAAGCACGATTTCCGATGGCATAGCAGAGGGTTCAAGGAACAAGCAGGAGGCCGGTGCCAGTTGAGCAGAGGCACCGGGTGATGGATTGAGGAGTGAGGAGGTCAGAGAGGTAGGGAGGTGTCTGGAAGTGAAGGGATTTGAACACGAGTGTGAGGATCTTGAAGTCGGTCCATTCGCCAGTGGAGCCTGGCCAGAACTGGTGAGATGTAGGTACAGAGTTTGGTCCAGATAGGTATCGGCTTGGTTAAACAACCAGGGCAATGATATAGGAACATTAAACCCTCCAGAGACCTGAAAATCCTCTGGTCTTAATATTAAAACAATTGTCATAATATCTACATAATATTCAACATAAATTTTATGTCATGTAGAATCTAAGTTCATTCATAATTTGGAAACCAGTTTGCATATATTTTTTAAAAAGCATAGGTTTAACAGTTCAGATTTAACTGTAGCCTGAAAGTACAAATTTCCATTCTTTTGAGTTTATATTCTCAGTGAAATCACAGAAACTATGGTGGTAATTGTTGGGGCATTCATTTAGAACCATAATCATTTACAGCACAGAAGAAGGCCATTTGGCCCATACTAAATGCAAGGATTATTGGACGTCACAGAGAAAATCTGCAGTTAAGTTCCTATCAGAAATTGTGGTTGCCGTTTGCTGACTGTTGATTTTCTCAATAATTTCAAAATGTTTAATGGATGAAAAACTATGGAATTGGTCATTGACTGATCAGCAACTCTAAGTTAGGCTATAGCCTATAATCATCAAACCAATTTATGAAACAAAATGGAAATTGAGTATGATTGATTTCTGTTGTGTTTTTGTAAAACTATTTACAAAATCTCCTACTCCTTCCTCATGCTAAAACATTACATGTTTTGAGTTTCTACTGCCAACTTGCCATTGTTAACACGTTTTCAGGAACCGCACAGGTGGCTCAGGCTAAGAACTTACCAAACTCGCCAAAGTCGCTTATTATTGAGCCTTCTAGAGAACTGGCTGAACAAACCCTCAACAACGTTAAACAGTTTAAGAAATATGTGGTTGATCCCAAACTAAGGTGAATTATCTTTTTCAATGTCATTTGTTTCCTCTTTTCCTCTTTTTTCAACTGGGTATCGATGTACTAATTCTCTGCCTATTGTTAGCATGTCTGGACTTAAAATTTTTGCCATTTTAGATTACTGACCAAGTATTTGGATAAAACTGCCTACCATTTACTGTGGTATTGAGTTAATGCCTTTTCAACATCATTATTGATTCCATCTCTATAGCTTTCTAGGCAGGGCATTCCACATCGTCGCAACCCGCTGTGTGACAAAATGCTTTCTGATCTCGGTTCTAACTCTTGATTCATATTTTAACACTTGTACAGCCTTTTAATGGATCCCTCTACCAAGAGTCATCCACTATCAAATCACACCTTAACCTTTGTTCGAAAAGGCAGGGTAGTCTAACTGATGGCCTGTGGGACATATCCAGCCTGGGGTTTTGATTTCATCCAGCCGGCAAACACAGTCACACTGTGACCAGACCCCAGGCTAGGTCTGACCCAGCAGGAAAAAACGGTGCAAGGCACAGAACCCATTGATCACTTTCAAATTGGTAACAGGAGAGAGACACAAACCGAGAGAGATACAGAGGTAAACACGGACAGACAGACACAGAGACACACGCAGACAGAGATGCACAGAAACATATACCTCGCTGGTGGCTGTATGGCTTCTGGCGAAGTGTAATTGCAATACTGATATCAACATTTATCGGCTTTTTTGGTGCCGGCTTTTTTCAGTGCTGATAAATGCCGGTCCCCACACTATAATTGTTTGAATCTCATGCGCAAAAGATAGCGAATAAACTGTCTTCTGCTCGTGGGATTCAAACTAAGTCAAAATAGATATCCTACACTTGTGCAAGCTTGTGGAATTTTTTAAAATTTCCTTTTGAGACTTGTCCTGCTAGGTCCAAATTCCAGATACCTGGAGCCCGGTAAGCCAAGAGTTTATAGTATAACCCATCTATCCAGCTGCTCATTATACCTAAACCCCTTCAGCTGAATATAATTCTGCTAATCCTTACATACGATGTAGCACCTTTCCCTCAGAAGGACGTCTCAAAATGTTTGAATATTAATTTAATGAATCATCACCAGACAGCATGCAAAGCTAATATATGCTTCCTTGAGTGTCCAAACTTTCATACAATGAAGTTAAAACCAGAGCTCTATATAACTGGAGGAGTACTTTATTTTTATATTACTTCTCTATTGCAAGAATGATTATTATATCTCTTGTGATAAATGCTGCATTGCATTATTGAGTGCTTTCTACGCCTGGGAATTAGATTTTAATGATCTGTACTCTTGAAACAAAGGTAGTTTTGAGTTCTTAGGTGTGTAGTGTATTAAATTTTGTTTAGCTTGATTTCACTTTCCTTGTTTTTTTGTTACTAGCAGTAAATATTATCAGGTGTTGTGTGCTTTTCAGGTCAAATCTTGTGATTTTGAAGCAGGTAACTTGTTCTGCAATGAACTACAATGCAATATTTCTGGAATATTTATTTTGCATTGTTATGGTGGTGACATGCTGTAGTGTCTTTATATTAAAAAAACTGCTTTTCCTGGAATAAAATATTGAGGTAATGTCCAACAGCACCAAGAGTAGGTACACATATAATGCTGTTGAGCATTTGTCTGGAAATGTAATGTAATTTTGAAAGTTTTGTTTTAGGGAACTTTTGATTATTGGAGGTGTATCTGCAAAAGACCAACTAGCTGTGTTGGAGCAAGGGGTAAGTTTTTCTCTATTAATACAACAACAACTTACATTTATATAGCGCCCTTCACAGGGGTTATATCTAGGAGGGCTGAACAGCAGTGTGGTTTGACACCGAAAACTCAATAGCAAAGCTACAGAAACTCATCTGTAATTTGTTCAGAATCAAATAATTTAACAAATTGTCTAGTAAATAGCTGAGTGGGTTAAATATCAGCTGACTGGTCTAACTGAAGATGGAGAAAAACTTGAAATTTGTTTGAAAGAATTCAACATCAAAATATAATCACTATATAGAAATCCTGCGACAGCCTTTGCGACATCCTTCAATATCAAAATCAAGTATAGTTTGCTAAAATTATAAACACCGTCAAAATTGAACTCTAGCATTTTCTCGTCCTTTCCACAGGTGGATATAGTTGTTGGAACTCCAGGCAGAATAGATGACCTTGTTTCAACAGGAAAACTGAATCTGTCTCAAGTTAGGTTTTTGGTGCTGGATGAAGCTGTGAGTAGTGGTTTTGTTAGGTTTAAATGATTCTTATGTGTCTTTATAATAGCATGTTGATTGGGGGTAGAAGCTTACCTTGTCACCCGATATCTCCAATATTTGGAATAATGTAGATCTAATGTGGTTGCCTTTTAGGATGGCTTGCTTACTCAAGGATATTCTGATTTCATCTCAAGAATACATTCTCAGATTCCTCAAGTTACATCTGATGGCAAGAGACTGCAAGTATGCATCTTTCTTTAGACGCATCAATGTGTACTCCTTATAGAAATAGGCATGTGTCTTGTCAGCTAGAGGTATAACTGGCAATTCGCAAAGTTTGTTTTCGTATCTCACATAGCATTGTCCGCAGGTCTACTTGGTACTGGTTGTCTGATTATACAGTGGCTCTTGAATGTAACATTTCCAATCTTATATCAAATCTCCTTGTAAGAGAATAGGTTTTAAATGTCTGAAATTGTATAGTTTTCCTCTACTGTCAATACAGTTTGCATTAAGAGTCCAAATTTTACAACATGCAGGTTTGATATAACGCACTTCAGTATAGGCGGATGTACTGTGGACCCTATTATTGCGTGTGCACATTGGCAGCCCACACATTAGCTGGCTTTCATGATAAAATGGCCGATTTTTCAGGTCAGGTGGCCGCTGTGATCACTTCCTGCTTGCTGTACATGTGCTGATGTTCACCGTGACCTGATAACCCAAAAAGTGGTCAATTTTTTCTTTTAGTGCAGGAGCCAGCTGGCTACACATAACTTATACAGTATATACATTAGCAGAATACCACACAATTAAAGATAATTACTTGGTTCACATTGAGTTCACCTCTTCCTTCTGCACCTTCTATTCCACTTCACATCCCTTGGTCATATTTTGAGTGCCTCCAACATAACATGGGAATTATTGCTGCTTCCTGCCAGCTTCAGAGAGATAATTTCATTGTCTCATTTTGATTAGTTTTAACTTCAATATGCGCAGGTCTTTGTAAAGCTGTCTTAATGACATTTGCAATAATCTGCCTGAGGCACTTGTAAGGTGTGTGGGTGGTAGGAGCTATGTATTCCCATTTCCCCTCTCTTCCCTTCACCGAAAATGACATCTATCTGCTGGGAAGAAGCACTGTGCCGTATCAAAGGTTGCAGAGCAAGCACTCCAGTGAAAATTAATGTCTTTTAGGCTTGGCGTCAGGGAGAAACTCTTTGTATTATGTTGAGAAAACTATCATTTGTGGGATGATAATTGTTAAATCCAATTACGGTTTTAATTTGTGAATTGTATTTAATGGAATGATTTTGCTTAATTTTCTTCGCTTCACCTAGGTAATTATCTGCTCTGCCACACTTCATTCATTTGATGTCAAGAAACTGGCGGAGAAGATCATGCATTTCCCAACCTGGGTAGATCTTAAAGGAGAGGATTCTGTTCCTGAGACTGTACATCATGTTGTTGTGCGAGTTAACCCCAAAAATGACCGCTCCTGGGAGAAACTTGGAAAACACGTCCGGGTATGACTTGGTACACTTTTTATGTCAAAGGATAAGATTTGAAGTGGTTAAGCTAATTAATAGTATCCAAGAATAGTGTGCTCTTCTGACAAACTTTCCTCCTCTCTGCCAAACTTTCTTCCGCCCTCTCTAAATTGTCAAATGATCCTTTATGATTTTCCCCACAAAATATACAGTCAATTCACTTTACAGTATGTTCTGTGAAGCACTTTGGCATGTCTCAAATATGTGATAAACACTATATCCAATGCAAGTATTATTATGATTTTGTGTTGAAAAGAAAGTATAACACCTAACAATTTACTAGGGGTAAATACTGTATGCTATTTAATTAGAAGTTTGTGCTTAATCTCATTTCTTCTACCCCACCTAGACCGATGAGGTACATGCAAGAGACAACACAAGACCTGGTGCCAATTCTCCAGGTTAGTGCATTTATTTAGTGCAGCATCAGCCTCCACGGGTGCACACTCAACCTCACTAAGCCAGTCAGGAACCTGGGTATCTTGTTTGACCCTGAACTGTCCTTTCTCCCCCACATCCACGCCGTGACTGGCGTTGACTACCACCACCTCTGCAACATTACCGTACTCCGCCACTGCCTCACCGCTCAGGCTGATGAAACCCTCACCCATGCACTCGTCACCTCAAGGCTTGATTACGGGAACTCTCACACACCAGGCTCCGTGACCCCATCACTCCCACTCTAGCCCGACTCCACTGGCTCCCCATCCCCCAGAGGATCGAATTCAAGATCCTCGTCCTCACCTTTAAGGCCATCCATGGCCTTGCCCCCTCCCATCTCTCTGACCTGCTGACTCCCTACGAGCCTGCCCGCTCCCTCCGTTCATCGGGCTCTGGCCTGCTCCATGTCTCCCGCCCGACCCGCCCTACCATCGGTGGCCGGGCTTTCAGCCTCTCTACTCCCACAATCTGAAACTCCATCCCTTTGCCTCACTTCCTCCCTTGCCTCCTTCAAGGCTGGTCTCAAGACTCTTTTTGACCGTGCCTTTGGTCTCCCTCCCACCTCTCTGCCTTCCCTCACCCCTACACCACCACCACCACCCCCCTATGCTCAGGCCCCGACCCCTGACTGTTCAGCACTTTGGGACGTCCTCCCGACGTGAAAGGCGCTCTATAAATGTAATGTTGTTACCGTCAGTATCTTGATTATCTGACTTGTAGGTTTCTTGCTTAAACACTCCCATCATCCAAGTATCTGCAGCCAGTCTCTGCTCTTGCACTGGGCTTCAGACATCTACCACAAGAACTTACATTTATATGTAGGTAGCATCTCGGAGCCTTATCAGCAGTGTGGTTTGACCCTGTGCTGGAAAGGTAACTGAAGATAGTCGAACAGGAAAGTCTTCAGGTATGATTTGAAGATGAGCAGAACAGGGCAAGACTTGAGGGATTGAGGCAAGGTGTACCTGAGATTTGGGGCATAGTGGCTGAAAGCATGATTGGCAGTGGTGAAATGGGATGAGGGATATACAGAAGACCTGTGCTGGAAAAATCATCAGGAGGTGATGAAAGCATGAATGAGGGCTTCTGTTTCTCCCACCTCACTAAGATCCACTGGCTTATCTCTTTCTCGTTTACTCGTTTCTCTCACTTTCAAATCCCTTCATGCCCTCGCACCTTCCAACCTATCTGACCTGTTTACACCCCCCTCTACCACCCGCTGCCTCTGCTCGGTTGGCTCCAGCCTCCTGTTTGTCCCTCATCCCCTCCGCTCCACTATTGGTGGATGTACCTTTAGCCACTACGACCCCAAACTAGAACTCTCTCCCTCAATCCCTCCCCCTTGCAACATCCTCCCCACTTTCAAATCCTGCCTAAAGACTTTCCTTTTCAAGCATGCCAACGGTAACCTCTCTCACCCTGGCTAGGGGTCAGACTCAGTCACTGTCGAGCCTTCTGGGACGATACCCTGCATGAAGGGCACTATATAAATGCAAGTTGTTCTGTTTCATACATAATTCCAGTATATTCTCTTCCTCCGCATCCATGCAATCTTCTCCAGTCCTATTCTCCTCAAATCCTCCACTCTTCTGATTCTAGTTCATTGTTTGCTCCACATTAAAGTGTTTTACTCTCAAAGTTTGTCTCTCAAAGAACTACTAATCTTTGGTTTGCAGAATCCGTCTTTACTTTTTACCTTTCCGCTGTTTGATTATTATATTATTAATGTTTAATTATTAACGTGACCTTTATTTCTTCAGAGATGTTGTCAGAAGCTATTAAAATCTTAAAAGGTGAATACATCCTGCGTGCAATCAAAGAGCACAAGATGGATCAGGCGATTATCTTTTGCAGAACAAAGATTGACTGTGATAACTTGGAACAGTATTTTATTCAGAATGGTGGAGGTAAGAGAACAATACTGTTTCTGGTTTTCCATTATGGTTAATTGTGTGCTCTCTTGGGAGGGTGTCTCATACTGATGGTTTTTGTTTCAGGACCAGATCGAAAAGGTCATCAGTTTGCTTGTGTTTGTTTGCATGGTGACAGGAAACCTCATGAAAGAAAACAAAACTTGGAAAGATTCAAGGTAACTGAAATATCAGTTTGTTGGTCGTAAAACCTTGGCGAGCTATTCTGATGGAACAGCAAGTTTATCCGATGAGCAGCGAACATATCTATAGATCATGAAGACCCCAGGTTTGATCCCCAGTCTGTGCTGAGTTTGTGTGACTCAGGTGCCACAGCACGAGGGTAGATTCATTTGGTCTTGATGACCTTTTAGGGATATCAAAGTGGCCAAAAAGACTGCTGTTTCTGATCGTTACTTAGCAACCAATAATGCTGGAGCTGCAGATTTGGGTGAGAATAAAATCTTTGGTTCTTATCCATAAATATAAAATGTTGATAGATGAAATTTTATGTCTCAACAATATGGATCCTTTTGTGAAACGAGACATCACTCCAGATTTTACAATCCCAGACTCTGACTGATTGTTAAAAGGAGAAAAAAATCCTAAACTTAGTTACCCTAAAAGCAGTTGAATACGAATTTGTTGAAACAAAGGTGATCAAGAAAATGCTACATTGTCTACCACTTCAGATGTAAGTCTGACCTGAAACTAACTATATATTTCAGTCCTAACACATTTATCCTGTATGACTAACAAAGGTATACAAATAATAATAGCATGAAAAATAGTCACTTGGCTCAACCAGTTTGTGCTGTTGTTTATACTCCATGAGTTTTCACCCACTGCTTACTCCCTCTGATGCCCCTCTCCCTCACATAAAGAATTTATTTTTAAAAGAAAGTTTAATTCAGGCACGTTTATTGTTAAAAAATGAGCATTATTCAAATAGTAGTTTGTTTAACACCGAGGTACCAATATATACTTTAATTTCCCTTGTCATTGATTTTTTTTATTGTATCTGAGTTTGGGAATTTACGCTTTTCTGTATGTGTTCAGTAAATTTACTTTTAAAGCAACCTGATAGGACAGAAATAAGGCAACTAGTATTGCATTTCGTGTTGCTTTTAAGTACAAAGACTATTGAAATCATGTTTTGCTTTGTTTTTTGGAAAGAAAGCGGATGTAAAATTTCTGATCTGTACTGATGTTGCTGCCAGGGGTATTGACATTCATGGTGTTCCTTTTGGTAAGCAAATTATCTGCTGGATATAGTGCTTTTTATTTGAATACATTTGTTTAAAAAAAATGGAATTAATGTTGTTTTTATATTTTTTTGTTTTAAATTCAGTCATTAATGTGACTCTTCCTGATGAAAAGCAGAACTATGTGCATAGAATCGGTAGAGTGGGGAGAGCTGACAGGTGAGGTGCAGGATCTGTATTGAAGTATAATTTACATTTTACAAAGGATTGTTTCTGTTGAAAAGTATCTTTTAATAAAGTGATGTTTTAAATATTTCAGGATGGGTCTTGCCATTTCCTTGGTAGCATCTGAGAAAGAAAAGGTATGTACTTCTTTGAATATTAATTCTGAATGTGTTCAAGATCATTTTTCTGTGACTTAATATAAGTGTTACTAACTCGTCAATCTTTGAACATTAAGTAGCTTTTTGTTTTGTTTAATGTTAATACCAAATCCTCCAAATTGGTTAACCTTTTAAACGTGTTCATCACCTCTTTTTGTAATGGATTTAAAATATATTAGAATAAATAGAAGAGGCAATTTGAACTAGTGAGACCAGATTAGAGTCTTCCAACACAGATTTCTGTCTCCTGGATGGTCTCTAATCTAGCATTGGCTGTTTGTGTTTTACAGTTTAAGCATCTTGGTTTTGAACTGTCTTAAACTAAACATATTAGTAGATTTGGTCACTTAAGTGCAAGTGTTAAACACGTCTTAATATAATTAATAATTCATCTGCAATAATGACCCAGAAATATTTAACCATTTTACACTTCCCTATAACCTAGCGTGGAATGTTATGAATTCCAAATGCCACATTACATTCAGGCTGCACTGTATTTACCTACAATTGAACTTGGTCAGAGGTTTTTGTTCTCTTCCGTACCCAAAGGTTTGGTACCATGTTTGCGCCAATCGTGGGAAAGGTTGCTACAACACAAGGCTGAAGGATCAAGGTGGCTGCACTATATGGTACAACGAAACACAGGTAGAGATTTTTTTTTAATATTTGTTTTGGATCTAACAAGTTTTACGTTTCATGCAGTAGTCATCCACATTAGTTCAAGAATGACGATTATATTGTGCTAGAAACAGAAAAAATTATATATATTTGACCATGAATTTTGTTGTATGGTGGAGAATGTTAATATTGTTGGAGACTAGATTTCTGATTTGAGTTAGAACACGACTCATTTACCATTCAAACCCAAGTATTGACAGTATAACATCTGCTCAATGGCAACTTTGATGGCCCTAAATAGGCAGTATTAGTCCAATTTCTAGCAGTGTAAGTAACCAGCACTAATTGGAACTAAATTAGTAGCTTGCATGGAGATTGCAGGATGCCTGAAGAAGAAATTACGCACTCTTTTGTGTCTAGATTCAATGTGCAGTAGAGTTTTTTTTTAAAAACACTTCTTAACATAATCCATCTGCATTAGTGACCCAGAAATATTTAACCATGTCACTGGTTGTCAAAAGCATAGCAATTCCGCAACTTAACAATAAAAAATAACAATCCTTGCATTTGATGTAGCGCTTTTCACTTCGGGAGGACGTCCCAAAGCGCTTCAGAGAACACACTGTAAAGTGAATTGACTGTATATTTTTTGTAGGCGAACACGGCAGCCAATTGCGCACAGCAATGTCCCACAAACAGGCATAGATCGAAAATGACCAATTTATTACTGTTTTTGGTTTTGGAGGGATTATTATTAGGCTCTGTGTGGAGTAAGGAAACTTGCCCAAGGTTTCGCCCTGACCTGCCTGGAATGAAACTCAGGTCTCTTGCTTGCAAAGCGAGTGCTCTAACCACTGAGCTACAGGACTCCAACTTGATACACACACACATGGATAGACACAGAGTGACATCTCTATATGGAGTCCTGTAGCTCAGGGGTTACAGCACTTGCCCCGCAAGCGAGAGACCTGGGTTTGATTCCCAGCAGGGCGAAACCTAAGACAAGTTTCCTTACTCCCCACGCCTGATAATAATCCTTCAAGAAAAGAAACAATAATGAATTGGTCACTTCCATCCACGACTGTTTGTGGGACACTGCTGTGCGCAATTGGCTGCCACGTTTCGCCCACCACTATACAGTCAATTCACTTTACAGTATATTCTGTGAAGCGCTTTGAGAAGTCTAGAAGACGTGAAAAGTGCTATATCAAATGTGAGGATTATTATTATTGAAGACTGCAAAAGTTTGCCAAAGAAATTGTTAAATAAAAATTGAAAAGTCAAAACTTTCAGCAGATAATCAAAATTCAGGGATTGTTTTGTGAAGACATATGAAAAATATGTGATATGTTAACAGTATATTGATTGGTTTGATAGGGTGGTGTATACCTGTGAGATATATTGAGGGTCATCAACATGAAGCATCAGTGGAATTTAACCACTACCCCCAAAAGATTTCTGGACTTCAATCACCAGAGGAAAGGCTCTGGCACATTAGGAAGAAATACCTCCAGAAAGCATGAAATAACCTGTCGCTCTTAACACTGATAGAGCAAGAAGGACAGAATCCATCACCACACATCTCTAAAATTGCCCTACATCAGGCCTCAGTGGGGCATGCATCCCTTCCCAGTCCTGCCTCAGACTGAATCAACACTCAACTCTATGTTCTGGGTAACCAAACAGTTCTAATCTTTTCCGACAGTACAAAAAGCCCCAAAAATGTAAAAAGTGTTAGAAACCCTGAGCCAAAGTGTTAGAAACCCTGAGCAGGTTCCCAATAATAACAATAGTAGAAGCCCTCTGGTGGAGGCAGTGCAGTTGTAGTGGTACAAAGCATTCATTCAAAAGATATAAGCCTTCATTTTGATTGACTAGTAGAATCATAGAATTATACAGCACAAAAGGAGGCCATTTGGCCCATTGTGTCTGTGCCGGCTCTTTTAAAAAGAACTATACAAATCAAACCCACTCCCCTGCTCTCTCTCCATAGCCCTGCAAACTTATCCTCCCCCAATAATGATCTACTTCTCTCATAAAAGTTGTTATCAAATCAGCTTCCACCACCCTCTCAGGCAATGCATTCCAGATCCAAACAACTTGTGTGAAAAAAAATTCTCCTCATCTCTGTTTCTTTTAACAACTATTTTAAATAGGTGCCCTCGAGTTACCGTATCACCCGCCAGTGGAAATAGTTTCTCCTTTTTCACCCTATTGAATCCCCTCATAATTTTGAAAACTTCTAGCAAGTCTCCTCTTAACCTTCTCTGCTCCAAGGAGAATAATCCTGGCTTCTCTAGCCTCACAATACTGAAGTCCCTCATTTCTGGTACCATCCTGGTAAACCTCCTTTGCACCCTCTCCAATGCCTTGACATCCGTCCTAAAGTTTGATGCCCAGAACTGAACACAGGACTCCAGCTGAGGCCTAACCAATGTTTTATAAAGGCTCATCATAACTTCATGACTTTTGTATTCTGTGCCCCTATTTATAAAGCCTAGTATCCTGTATGCATATTTAACAGCTTTATCTCCCTGTTCTGCCACCTTCAAAGATTTACTTATATGAACCCCCAGGTCTCTCTGACCCTTCACCCCCTTAAAGATTGTACCATCAGCTTATATTGTCTCTCCTCATTCTTCCTCCCAAAATGCATCACTTTGCATTTTTCCACATTAAACTTCATCTGCCATATGTCGGCCCATTTTACCAGTCTGTCTATGTCCTCTTGCAGTGCTACTCACTGTTTACTACTTTTCTTCACTTCGTATCATCTGCAAAATTGGCAATTGTACTCCCTACACCCAAGTTCAGGCCATTTATATAGATCAAAAACAGCAGTGGTCCCAATACCGAACCCTGGGGACACCACTGCACAGTTCCCTCCCGTCAGAAAACCAACCGTTCACCACTCTCTGCTTTCTGTCTCCCGTCTAGTTCTGTATCCAGGCTGCCACTGTCCCTTTAATACCGTGGGCTTCTATTTTGCTTACAAGTCTCTTATGTGGCACTTTATCAAATATTTAAAAAAGCTTTTAAAAACTTTTGAATCTTTTATTTGTTGCATTACATTAAAATGCCTTTGAACTTTTGCATTTAATTCAAGAGAATGCTATCTTTGTCCAACTATAGTTCTGTCTGTGTTCAGAGGCTGCAGTCTCCAGTCAATTAATTGCAGTTTAATGTTAAACCAGTAGTTATCTCAGGGGCTCAGGCTCACATAGAAAGCAGGTAGTGTTCACACAGATGTTGCTACAGAATTCAAAAATGGTATATTTCATTGAAATTCACTTTGGTCTTGCCATTTAAAAAAAAATTAACTATATTAAAACAGTTTGTGTCCAAATGAGTAAGTTTTTTAAAAAAAATGTTGAGCTGTTAATAAAATAACTTGCTTACTGTAACACTAATCTTCGAGAAATAGTACCTATTGTTAGTTTAACAAATGTTTTATTGTGGTTTGTATTTTCACTCTGGCATGTGTTCTTTTGAAGCTGTTGAGTGACATTGAAGAGCACTTGAATGTCATCATCTCCCAGGTTGAGCCTGACCTAAAGATACCAGTGGATGAATTTGATGGAAAAGTGGTCTATGGCAAGAAAAAAGCAGCAGGAGGTCAGATTATTTTAATGGGGTGGAAGTAGAATTTTGAGACTGTGCAACACTGTAACAATTCATTTATAAAAGTCCTGATTCATTTATATCAGATACCAATATCTCTGCATAGTCTGAGTTGACCAGCACTTCAAGTATGACCCTTTATCAGATGTTCTTTTTCTTTGATCTCTCTCTTACAATCTGGGTGAATTTCCAGCTTTCACGTTTGTTCTCTTGGTTCCACTTGGTCTCTTCCTTTGTGCCAGGCCTAAGTCGCAAATTTTTTGTGTTTTAATTTCCATGATCTAGTATTTTTTAAAGAAAACCTCCAGCTTGAGAATGCAATTACATTTCAACCGCTGCTATCAGTTTTTGCATCTATTTGGATACTTGTGTACATAATCTACTTTTTTTTATAGACTGATTAACTTGTGTTTAATAGCTGAGCTGAAAACATTCTGATATTTTCGAACTGTGACTTATTTCCTTCATTAAATGTCACAGGTGTTGCTGGTACAACCCATGCACCAGTATTGTATCATGATCTTGAAATATGTTTGCCTTGGAATTTTTCACATGCCCTTAATTCAGATGATTTCAATAGTGGTATGGCTAGAGGCACCTTGTTTAAATGTTTCTCAAGGTTCCAACAAGACACACTTGGCTAAATTGGCATTACTTCAGAGATTTTACTTAGAATTTTAAAATTATGTATGTGGGAAGAGCAGAACCTTACAACAAAAACATCATTGGGTCACAGCACTTGAAAGAAAACTAAGGAAAATCAATTTAATCTGAATGTTCTCCGTGCCCTTTTTATGAAATTTACCTTTTCGCATTGTTCAGATTCCTTTTTTTGTGTTTTTTAAAAAAAAATAGTTTTGAACTTCACATCAGGTGATTAGCAGCATCTGAAGTTAATCAGAGTAAACACTGTCCAAATACACTGGTGAAGGACGGCTGCTTGATGTACTTTTTTTTAAGGCTACTCTTAATTTTAACTCTGTTTGCTTTTCTTTGCCAGGTGGTCAGTACAAGGGCCATGTCGATGCTTTGGCATCCACAGTACAAGAGCTGGCTGCTCTTGAAAAAGAAGCTCAATCATCGTTCTTACATTTTGGCTACCTTCCCAACCAATTGTTCAGACGTGTTTAATAACATGCCTGGAGATGCCTCAGTGAATATTTAGGAAGCAAAAAAAAAGTTTGAAACTGTTTAATGGTACAGAATTACTTCCAGGAATGGTTAAGCATTTCTGATTTTCAAACTACATTTCAGCATTTATCAATATTTAAATACCGGCATAATGTGACAATGATACATTGGCTGCTAGGGTTGAATTTGAAATTAAAATGATTTGAAAATCAGTTATTCAATGGTTGTTTGTTCGCTGTTTATTTTATTCCTGCCTCTGGGGAAATTTGACCTTGTTCATGCTTTCTCCAAGATGAACACATTCTGGGATCACCATTAGAATTATGAATCAGTGGTTGCTGAAACTACAGGTTATTCAATTTTGAGCAAGGTGAAGCTGGGTGTCTGTAATTATGTGCTCCATTACCCCACTAGAACTTGTATGTGAATCCAACTTTGGGATCTGTCCATCCTTCATAGCTATTATGAAGGGTGGACAGATTAGCTACATCATTGTCTAAACCTAACCCAATTCCAGTTCACTATACCAAACTGAAGCACTCCGGGACGCTACCCCGTGTGAAAGGCACTATATAAATGTAAGTTGTTGTTCATAAATGGTAATAAATGGTTGATGCTAGTTTCAAACTACGCAGTTTGTTAGTTAATGAAGAGGATTTTTTGTGGGGAATTTAGTCACAATAATTAGTAAAATTGGGTTTTTAAATGGACAAAATGCACTCCACTGTAACCAAGGTGACTATTTAAATAAAATCAAAGAATAGGTCATCTTATCAGTATTTAATCTCATCTCATGTCTTTAACTAAATTTCAGAGATAAATGCAAATTGAATTACTGCAGATATGTAATATGTAAATATGTAGTTGAACAATTCAATTGGTATGTGATCTGCACTGGTATGTAATCTTTTGTCAATAACTCAAAAGATTGGCTACCTCACCTGCACTTCAGAATTCTGTATTGATCCAAAAATGTCTGGACAGAATACTGACCGTGAAGTTGCCCAGTGCTTGTCGTGTGTGAATCTCCTTCTCACAATCTGTTTCAGGTGTTTAAAATAACAAGTTAATTGACAAACCAGATAGAGGTTAGAAATGAGATCACACACCAGACATGTAAGAATATAAAGTACCTCCCTTGCATTCATTCAATGCTAAATCTGTTCGGGATGTTTGACAGTGTTGAGAAAAATAGAAAGAAGGTGATGAGTATATGGAATGAAAAGATGTGCCAAGACCCCATAGAAGCAGGAGTAGGTCATTCAGCCAGTTGAACTTGTTCCACTATTCTAGCCTCCCTTGCCCCATATCCCTTGATACCCTTACCTTACAAATGTCTATCCACCTCATTCTTGAAAATTTGAATGGATCCAGCATCCACAGCCTTTTGGGGGAGAGAGTTCCAGATTTCCACTACACTTTGGGTGGAGAAACTGCCTCCTAATTTCACTCTTTAATGGTCCAGCTGTAATTTTAAGAATATTCCACCCTTGTTCTGGATTCCCCCACCAGAGGAAATAGTTTCTCGATCTGCCCTATTGAATCCCTTTATTATTTTAAAAACCTCAGTCAGATCACTAAGTTCAAGGGAATACAGACCAAGTTTATACAACCTGTCCTCAGAATTTAAGCCCTGGTATAATTCTGGTGAATCTGCACTGCACCCCCTCCAGAGCCAATATATCCTTCCTGAGGTTTGGTGCCCAAAACTAAACAGTACTCCAGATGAGGTCTGACCAAGGCTCTATACAGTTGAAGCATCATTTCCTCTCCTTTATATTTCAGCCCCTTTTGAGATGAAGGCTAACTCCTATTAGCCTTTCTCATACCGTTTTGTACCTGTGAGCTTGTTTTCAGTGATTTGATAAAATGGCGTACAGCCTTGAAAGGTTGAACGTCCTTCTGTTACGTTTATACTAAATGTACCTCAACTGGCTGAATGACCTATTCCTGTTTCTATGGGGTCTTGGCACATTTTTTTCATTCCATATACTCATCACCTTCTTTCTATTTTTCTCAACACTGTTAAACATCCCGAACAGATTTAGCATTGAATGAATGCAAGGGAGGTACTTTATATTCTAACCTCTATCTGGTGAGCAGTCAATTGGTCTTGTAAGCAGCCATGAAGTGAATAACCAATTTTATCTGAGGATAGTTATCCAGGACACCAGGACAAACTCCCTTTTTGAAGTGTCACAGGAGCTTTAAAACCTACCCGAACAGGCAAATGCCTCAATTTAACACCTTATCCAAAGGATGGGACCTCTGACAATACAATAAGCGCCAGCACGTCATTGGAATTCAGCCTTAAGACACTGAGATCAAAGACCCGATGTGGGGCCGAAACCCCAAACCTTCTGACTTGTTATGCTACCAAATTCTTTTTTGAAAAAGAAGAAACATTTAAACGAGATAAACTTGGCTGAGTTTACAAAAACACACCTTGATAGTCTGAAAAAATTGTTGCTAAGGCAACACAAGTATAAATACGAATACAGCATGTATATTAGGATTTTCTTTTTAATCCGATCACCTAACGGTTAAGACTAGCTTCGGAAGCTACATAATTGCTTTGTGAGTTTTCAGCGGCTGCATTTTAAACCTGTCAATTCCTTCCAGTCTATGAATGTCTTGCTATGTTGACAATGTTCAAGGCCTTGTTTTCAGTGCTGTGGGAACCTAAATTGATACTTCATATTGCTTTCAGACGCTTTGCTTAAGGTGGTACAAGACTGCTTTAAACCATAGTGACAGTCCTATTCAGTAGTTTTATATAATTATTTCTTGTCCTAAAACTGTTCTACAATAGAAATTAATGATGCAGCTTTCAATGATAACATGTGTCCCACAGAGGGCTGGGGACAGGATGTCAAAAGGAGTTAGGAGTTAGCCACTGCTGTCAAACGTTCAGGGGGTAATTCCAATGAGTAACTTCAAATGTTCTTATTCAAACTGAGCATTGTATTAGCAGTCAAAGCTTCAGGAAGAATACAAGTGTTTTCTCACAAAGATCTGCAAGATTACTTCATAAGCTCTTGCAACCATACATCATTTTTCACTAAAGAAATGTTACTGTACTACTTGCAAACAATCTGCATATAGATTATTTTAATGTTGGAAGTGCTGACAGAAACCGGGAAAGCAGAAATAGTGAAACATTTGAATACATTATGTGAATCTATTTGTATCTTTTGCTAAAAGGCCTATGCCTTATGCACTTCCCCTCAACTCCTATGGCCACTGTGCCCCAAACCACTGGCACACTCCAAACCTCTAGAACTCCCTGCCTCAATCCCTCCGCCTTTCCTGCTTTCTGCTTATCTTCCGATCGCACCTGAAGCCTATCCTCTTCGACAGTGCTTATGGTCACCTCGCCTTTCTCCCCGGCTCGGTATCAAACTACTGCATTGTTCAACGCTCCATGATGCTACCCTGCATGAACGACAACAACAAGATTGCATTTATAGAGCGCCTTTCACGTCGGGAGGACGTCCCAAGGTGCTGGATAGTTGGGTCGGGACCCGAGCAGGGGGGAAATGGTCAGGGTGAGGGGAGGGAAGGGAGGGAGCGAGGAGGGGGTAGAGAGTCGAGAGGGAAGGTAAAGCACGATTGAAGAGAAAGGTCTTGAGACCGGCCTTGAAGGAGGAAAGGGAGGAGGCGGCGAAGGCACTGGGGGACAGAGTTCCAGAGCCTAGGGGCTGAGAGGCTGAAAGCCCGGTCACCGATGGTAAGGCGGTTAGGGCGGGGGGTGTGGAGCAGACCGGAGCCAGAGGAACGGCAGGTACAGGCAGGTAAGTAGGGGGATAGTAGGTTGGATAGGTAGGTCGGTGAAGGCTGCTGTGTATATGTGTATGTATGTATGTGTATATATATATGTATGTATATGTATGAGATTGATGTTTGAGGGACATTGCTGTGAGCAATTTGGTTGCACGTTTGCCTATAAAATACAAAGTCAATACATTTACACTATATCCTGTCAAGCACTTTTGAGACATCCTCCCGACATGAAAAACCCTACATCAAATGTAAGGATAATCATTTTTACTCAGCTGCCTTTTCTTTCCAGCTGTTTGGAGTGAAGCAAAAAACTAAAATTGTTTCTCATATCTGGGTCTTCTATTCCTCCCCACACTCTCTCTCCCGCTCCCCCCCCCCGGAGCAATTTAAACTTAATATCGACAGATTGGGCCAAATGGCCTTCTTCTATGCTGTAAATTTCCATGGTTCTATGAGCTAGTTTCCAATCATCTGGTACTATCATTGTTTAATGAGATGTGAAATTCAACAGAAACTCTCCGTTTCCTTAAGTATTCTACATATAAATGGTTACCATCCACACAGTGCTGGACATTGTATTCAAATACTCTAATATGTTGTATTCAACATTTGTTTGCCCATGTAATGAAACTTTTTCCCTGGTCCTAGATAAATGTAACTGGAATGAAAAGGTGTATCATTTTTTAATAATGACATTTTTAAAAAGCAATTTAAAATTTCAAACTTAATCCATGTGACAAGCAGTGGAGAAATATTCTTTGGACATCAATAAGAACTTGCATTTAAATAAGGCTTTTCATGTAAAAGAAAAAAACTCAAAGCACCATGAATAATTTTCTCTACTTGTAATTTCTCTTGGCTGTAATTTCTCCCATTGAGATGAATCTGATTAAAATTGGTTAGGGTTCAAATGAAATCTTAATATCCATGAAAGAAAATGTGAGGTTTCTTTATGTAGAATTTACACCACATTTCCATAGTAACTGATGAGAATTTTAAGGAATAGCAATCATTGTTCAGCAACCATGAAGGAAATAATCACATTGCATTTTAAAACAAGTTAATACAAGGTAACCCTGTTGTAATGCAGTCTTCTGCATCCAATATCTTACAAGCTGTGTAGAAGGATGAGCAAAAAAAAGACCCATCTCCAGGTCATCAGGATGCTGCTAATATCACTTCCTGGGTAAAAACAGAAGTCCCTGGGAACATGCAGCAGGTCAGGGAGCATCTATGGAGAGAGGAAAATGAGTTAACATTTCATGTTGATGACCTTTCGTCAGAACTGGTCCTGGGGGTTGTGACAATGTGCAAGTTGCACTTTAGCTGTGGGTCCTTTGCAAAGTGATGTCAGTGCCACTTCCTGCACATAGCATACATATGCAGCAGCGTAAGCAGCATTAGCAGAAATACCTGTGTGGCGCATAGT